TCGCTGTTTGGGCTGCGACCGAGTGGAGCTGGCGGTGCCCGGCGACGTTGACGGTGACGACGGAGAAAGGGGTTTCAAGAGCGATTTTGCCGCAGATCGGTGCGAGGAGTTCGAGGCTGGTGGGAGCAAAGAGAGCAAGGCTTATAGCAGTAGAGATGATCAAGGGGAGATGAATTTGAACCAGGTTAGCAACTACAGCTACGGTGAAGCTGAAGCATTGACTGATGAAATTGAGCAAGAATCTGAGATTGCTGGGGAGATTTTGAGGATCAAAGAGATTCTGAATAATTTTGAAGAGGAGGTAAATGGTTATTGAAGATTTGTTGTTCTGTGGAACTTTACATTTTCTGTGATGTTCTTTTCTCTCATGATCATCATTGCTCTGTTTCTGTTCTTGTGCAGTCTGATTCCATATTGTTTGAATCACTGAGAAGACTGGAATTGATGTCTCTATCAGTTGACACTCTGCAGGTGATTTGAATTCTTTAGTTTACTTTTGGAAATTTTTGGGCAAGTTAATTGTTGTTGGTTGTTCTTGTTTCCGAGTAGAATTGGGACTCAAGTTTAGAGGCTTTTTTTCCCCTTTATCAGGCAACTGAGATTGGCAAGGTTGTTAATGGTCTTCGAAAGCATGGATCGAAGGGCATCCGCAATCTTGCTCGAGTTCTTATCAGGTATTAAAATCTTTCCTTCAGAGCTCTATAAGTATAGTGTTTTGTGATGATTGCCAAAAGTAAATTTACTGTTGACTCTCTGTTTAACACCTTTTCAATAGGTCTCCTCCTGCAAAGTTCTATAAATCTTACAGTTTTGGTTTTGAACTTTTAAGAACTGAGGATTAGTTTCTCTCTTTTGTCTGAGTCTCATAATTGGTTTTCTATTAATCATTCCATTTATTCAATTAACAATCATCATTATTAGCCACCTGCTTTGATGCAAATAACAATTTATTTGCCTTTTATGTTCATTCAGTGTTCGTTATTCTTTTTTTATCGACTGGACGAAGAACATTTAGGATTAGTTAATGAACCCCTATCTCATCTGTGTTATTTAAACTTGTTACATTCTGGGAGAGTTCTCTATCTGTCCTGTCCTATCCTATCTTCTGCACTTTTCTTTGCATAAAAAGAAACCCGGTCCTCGTTAACCTTCACGTTTCTGATTCACTTAATGGAAGTTAGATAAGAAAGACACTACTATGAAGACTCGTGTTACTACTTTGTTACTAATTTACTTTGTTTGAAATTTGATTGTTGCAGTGAGTGGAAAGAAATGGTGGATGAGTGGGTAAAAGCTGCACCTGCTGCTCAAGGTATAGATTGTTTACAAAAATTTCTTTTGTTCCATGCCAATTCTCGAGAGTTCATAATTGAGGAACGTTTTTCTTTTTTCCTTTTATTGACAAAAAGGTGCAGAAGAAGTCACACCGGATTCCAAAAATAAGTCTGCCACAGAAGAAGAAGAAGATTTTGAAGAAGGGCTTCCATTTCCTCCTCTAGATGAAGCTGTATTTTTTGCTACTCAGCCCACATCAATGGAGCTCTCACAAGTATATCTCTTATTTCATGTTATATTGGGTTGTTTATTCTAAATAGAAATTATCTTATTTAAGTTGCATCAGTTCTAATCGACTGAATTTTACTTTCGTCCCATTCCTTTCCTTGGTGAAGTTCTTCGATGGCATGGACGATGATGGAAGTGAGTTTGTTTTGCAATATCTTATGCTTCTCTAGACTGCTTGCTATTCGGTTCTGTTTTTAAATTCTCCATGCCTTGGATTCCTGATTATGAATGGGATATGCTGTTTCAGATCCTCGAAATGGCGGGGAAGTTGTCAAGAACCGTGACATTGGAAGAAAAACATCAAATGGCAATCAAAATCCTACAAGGTCTAAACAACAAACTGCTCAAGAGGTCAATGGGCTTGCTAAGGACCATAAGAGCCAACTAAAGGAACAAGTTGTGAAGCCAAACAAGCCATCATCAAACACGAATTCTGGGCTTTCAAGGCCACAGAAGCTAAGCGCAGAGCCAAAGGACAATCACGAGAAGTCCATGCGCAAGCTGGATAAGCCTACAATCCCAAAGAGGAACCAGCAAGATGTAAGTACTAGAAGATCCAATTGTAAGTAATTAGGGGTTCAACCTTCGTAATTTTATCTGATTTTTTCGATTCCTGCCTGCCAGAGAGTCAAGTGTTCAGATGAGGATGCAGTTCAGATGAAACTAGAAGCCACTAAGAGGAGACTCCAAGAGAGTTACCAACAAGCCGAGAACGGTATTTGCTTCCGCTGATGATTCTATATGCTTTCATCAATTCTCTTATACCAAATGAGAGCTTTCTTTAAACAAATCATGTAACAAAGTTCTCGAAAATTCTGACATATGATGTTTTATTTGACAGCCAAGAAGCAGCGTACGATACAGGTCATGGAATTGCGTGATCTCCCCAAGCAGGGACTTGGCCACAAAAATCCACACCTAAAATCTGTAGGCCACAACCGACATCGGGCAAACGGACGGCGTTAGGATCATCAACCGTCAGGAAGAAGACTGCAACTTCCAGAATACGCTCCGAGTGACCTCCATCTCAGAGTAGGTGGAAGGTCATGCTAAAACTCCCTGGCAAACAGTGTCTTGACCGTCGCGCTTGAACAAGAAACTTGGTTTCCCACTGTGTCGTTTCTGGGGAGGGCGATTCCGATTCAAAGGCAAGTCGGAGTTAGAAACCCATTTCCTACTTTTAAAGTACATTTTGCAAGTATAGAGAGTTTCTAGTGGAATTTGGGAGGCAAAATTATATAGCACAGCTTTATCAGTGGTTATTGTTAGTGTCTTGACTTGGTTCTCTCTTACATAATATGCCTGTACAGAACCCTCTCATTTTACAATCCTCTTCACTTCACTCACTGACTACTTTCTTATAGACGGTTTCCCTCTCCCCCCCTCTTTCTATCACATTGAAGGAAGGGTTTCTTCCATACTATTGAGGCTAATGTAATATAATTTTGCACACAACATGGTGCACTTCCATAAACATTATAAATCTGTATACTCCTTCATATGAATGGCAATAATTCTACTCACAATCTTTTGGTGCTTGCTTGTCTGTGGTTGGTTGTCGAATAATGCTCTCATTTCTTGTTTCTGGTTTTTCATCATGAAAGAACAACAGTAACGTTGTCAAACAGGAAAGGTCAGAGGGATAGGCTTGCAGATATTTCCCATTTTGGGTATTTGCTTGCTCTCTTGGATCAACAGCTAAGAATCACCAAACACACCTCTCTCGCACACACAAAACAAGAAGACAAAAAATTCATTGAAATTGGTAGGTAAGAAGCTAGTTTTCCATTTTTTTTCTCTCTCTTTCAAAGGCCATGTGTTTGCCATCAATCCATCTTAACATTAGTCAACTCTTCACCCTCCATTAAACCTCAGCCAATGGATAATCCTCTCATTTATTACATCATATATATGTTTTGAAGGCTATTTGATGTTTGGAAAAAGAAAAGGAAAAATGATGATGAGTAGGGAAGCTTTGACCTTCACTAATAAATTTAGATATAAAAGGAAGGATATATTTATATTGATAGAGTTTATGTGGGTGATGAGTTTATCCAATGGAGTAGTGGGGAAGGCAAAAGGGGGATTCATTTGCTTTGATTCCAATTGATAGTGCAGAGGATAAGGGTTTCCATATGTATGTTCTTATCCTTTGCCACACACCTCAAAAAGTATACCCATTTGCCTCTTTTCTTTTCATTTTTCTTTTTTTGGAAGGTTTCAAATCTTGCAAGCAACTCTCTCTCTCACACACACATGGCTTCCTTGTTTATTTAAATGTGAAAAATGAGAGTTCAAGACTCTTCCTATTTTGCCCTCCAAAATAAAATATATCTGGGTGAGCAAGTTTACGATCGAGGACTGAATTCTGTAGGGTTGGAATTTAACCGCTTTATCAAGTTTACGAGGTGAAGTAGAGGTTCCAACATAGGTTGGTAAGGGCAAAGTCATCCTAATGGTTGACTGGGCCTAGTTGGTCAAGGCATGCGAGTCGGATGAAGATAAATTCATCGTTTTTCTCCTCTCTCATGCGTGAATATATGAATTGTATGAGCCATTAGTCCGTCTTAGAGAATGGAATTCGAAATTTGAACACCATAAATACTACTTTCTTTTCAGAAATTAGATAAGCCTCCATTACATTTATGCAGTTAACTCATACCAACGAAGTTATGTTATTTTACTAACTTAATCGTTTGAGTTCTTTTAGCCAACGTCAAACTACTAGAAGTCATTTATTATCAAACCTACTTTTTGTGTTACAAATGCTCAAGAATTGATAATATATTTTCCACCATTATTGTACTAATTAATAGCTTATATGTATTTGTGTACCTATGAGATGAAATCCTCTATCTTTATAAACGTACATTACAGAAATAACAATCCAAAAATTAATAGAGATAAAGATAGATTAAAAAAACATTAACACTATTTCAAAAAGAAAAAAAACATTAACACGTGTCAAATCAATACTTATTAATTATTATAATAATCTCGATCAATATATCTATGCATTCATCAATTACATAGATCAACTAATTATTATTGTAGGAGGCAAAAATATGACATACCATCTGGCGAGATATGGCCAAGCTACCGCCGAGCTCCTAAGTTCACCTATGGTCGAGCTCCTAAGCTCACATATTGCCGAACTCCTTAGCTCACCTATAGTCGGGCTCATAAGCTCACCTATGGTCGAGCTCCTCTATTGTCGAGCTCCTTAGCTCACCTATGGCCGAGCTCCTAAATTCACATATGGCCGACCTTGAGCTACTAAGCACATCCATAGCCGACCTCAATCATTGCCGCCCTATGATCCGACATCTAATTGCCCTGTTGTAACGGCCATAACGGATGTGTCCTTTCACTCGCCTATGAAAGGATCTTCATTCCTCTTACTCAGGCATGTAATTCTACTTCAAGAATGACCTATTTGAGCTCACACCTATACTGACTTGAGCGTCGGAGTATTTACTTTCTTTTTCAAGTCCGACCTTTCCTGAGCTCGCACCTCACAGCTCGGCCCATTGCCACATGGCCGACCTCGACAGCTCGACAGAATTTTACATCAACAACTACAATAATAAAATATATAAAAATAAAAATGAGCTAAACATTTTGTTTAGTCGATCAGATGATTAAAAATGAGAGATTATTACCAATAAAACTCCTCAACATAAAAGAGGCAATAAGATATAAGGACGAAATTGTCCTTCCTCGAATCAAAGGTCGAAAGGAAATCAGGATGGTTTCGTAACCCATATCGATTTTTTTTCTTGCTTTTAGATTAGTTGAATATTGAGTGAGTCTCACATTTATTTTTTAAATTCTAATTTTACTTTATTAGTCTTTTTTACCTTCGAATTTGAAACTTTAAAATGTAAAATTAAATTTAGAAAAAAAAGACAAATTTTTCTATAAACTCATTTCATTTTTGTTAAAATTTAAAATTGTAAAGTATAGTATATTATAAATTATATAATATTACAAAATACTAACACTACAAAATTTATATCATATTTATTTTGGATTGAAGTAAATATTTATTTCATAACTACCCCTAGTTTACAAATATATACTAAACACTCTAAAAAAATTTTAAAAATGGGATCAATTTTCAAATCTGCTAATTTCGAGATTCGACCTCTGGATAATCAATAGAATATCTAAAAATTTAAATCATAAAAAAACAGTAACCCAATAATATTTACAAATATAACTGGAAAGAGTTGTTTTCACCAAAATAAATTCATGGCACCTGATTCAAAACCGATTTAGAGAGAATTGGTTCTGTTGTTTTTTAGGTATTCTTTGACTTAGAAACCCATACTGATTAAAAAAATATATATCTAAGGATTGAAAGTTTCAAAATTTTATAATACCCAAAAGAAAGAAAGCCAAGTTGACTATTGAAAAAACTACAAAATTTTTTGCCCAACCACCAGCCCATTTTATACAAAACAATGACCAAAGTTTCAAGGTCAGATGTTTGGAAAATGCTATGATATTCTCAAACCACTGAATTTGGCTGATTTTGTGACACATTTAAACCCAAAAAATAATCCATTGTAAAAAAATAGATTCTTGTACGAGTGGATCTCAATATTGTTAGAAAGAATGTTGTTCTAGTAACCTATGTGTCAAACAATGTGTAAGTGTACACAGTATGATCGTAGCAAGTAATAAAAAAATCGTCTCCACGAAAATTGAAATAATCAAAATTCCCTATAAAATTAATTTACGAAAGTACTGACCAAAAAAATATAGGGACAATTGCAAATATGGCAAAAACGTTTAGCAAAATTAGTAAAATAGCAACCACATCTAGTTTTTTCAAATATAGCATTTTTTTTCAAATAATCGGAGGTCCAATTTTGAAATGACAGGTTTGTCCAAATGATATACATCTGTAATATATGTAATATATTTGACTATTGATATGTGTATGTGATACTGAAATGAGTATTTGTATGATATACTACTCATATAAGTATCTGATATACTTGTAATATGTATGTGATATACATCTGATATACTGCTGATATGGGTGTGATATATTTGCAATATATATGTGATATATATCTAATATACTACTGATATAAGTGTCTGTGCAATATGTATGGGATATACATCTAACATACTACTAATATGAGTGTCTGATATACTATTGATATGAGTATCTGATATACCACTGATATAAGTGTCTGATATACGAACGAAGAATAAACGAATAGATTTTACTCGCAAGATCTAGAAAAATAAAAAGGGTAAAATTGAAATAATGAAACATTCCAAAATCATGATTCTAATTTTGTGCTATATTTGAAAATTTTAAAAAACAAGTGACATATTTTGAAATACATACAAGATTTTTGCTACCCACTATAATTTCCTAAAAATATATTACTTCTTTTCTAAACTAGACTAAAATCGACATAAATGAACCACCATGGAAATTAGAGTGGTTCAAAAAACAAAAGTAAATATGCACAGAACACTCGCAAGTAAGTTCGAAATAAAAAGGGGGAGGTTGACTAACTTGACTTCTTTTTCTCTACTACTACTACTCGAAGCTCTTACATTGATAAATCCTACTATTGCCAAATAGACATAATATTGTTTCGAACTATTCAGATTCAATTTTCCACTACTTTCGTTGAGACTCAGTTTTTAGGTAGCGTTATAAATCTTATTCCTAAGTATTTACATCCTGTTTAGAAATATAGATCTAGCATCAAACAAAGCTAAACACGTATCTCTTTATTTTTCCAAACAATAAAAATGTGGGCAGTTAAAAAATACTTGACATTCTTTATTCATACTCACTCTCACAATCAAATTATTAACTTGATCGTCAAAAGGTTCTCAAACCAATGTTAAATTGGTACCTTCTCGACTCGAATTCATTCTTAAAACTAAAATTCTTATTTCTTACGGCAATTCAAACATAGCTAAAGTAGACAAGACATCTATTACCATCCAAATCGCAAGAAATCCTGGAAGTAAAACAAAAAAAAAACTACATTACAACTGACGACAACCAAATCCAAAAGGTTGACTTATTTGGTAGCTGAGTTGTTGCCGACATTAATTGGATATGTGGTCGACAGCCCACTTCTTTTTGTCGGAATTGGATCAACTTCAAGATTTTGTAGGTATTGCTGTACCTTTTGGAAGCCTTGGTGGGAGTATGGGCCAAGCACATGAAGTAGCTTTTCATATATGTACATAAAAAGAGGTAAAACCATACTTGTGAGAGAATTCAAAGCTATAATGAATTAATTGGCTTGCCTCTTGCCTCATTCAAGGTACCAAAATTGAGAACTTTCCTTGAACTAGCTAACAACACTATTGATGGGTCAGTTTAGGGTATAATAACAAGGTGTAGCCTTTGTACGATCTATTAAAGAATGGTGCCACCGGATATGGACTGAATAATGCTATGATGATTTTTGAAAGATTAAAGACCCTATCATGAGATTGCTAGATTTCAATTGGAGAAGTTCTTATTCGAGATGTTAATTCATTCTGAAAAGATGTGAAAAGATGTGAAGTAGAGAGAGTACGCCCACAAGGAGATGGGAGCGAAAAATTTCGTCATTTACTTAGCATGTAGATCAGGTACTATTTGTTTGGAATTGAGTTTGTTGTAATGATACACAATGTTGCTCATTAATACATGCATCAAAACACAATAAATTACTCCAAAGTAAGCAAGATGGATAGAAATTCATGAGGAATTTGATTTTGTTGGAATTTTTAATAAAATTGTTTTTATTAACAATGAAGAATCACAACTTTTCATGAATAATGTGTATTTTGTAATTAAGGTTATGTCCTTTTATCAAAAGACATAATTTTACATGAAAACATGTAACTATTTGATTCACTACAAATAGTCTATAAATATATGGCTCTTTTAAGTTGTGCAACACATAAAAATCATCCCTCAAAATTCTCTCGTTTTCCCTCTGTACAATTACTTAAATACTAAGATTTGTTCAGTCTTGTGCATGAAATGTTGCCTTCACAGATTGGTAGGAGACAATTGTTCATGAAATCTTGAGCACCATAGAGGGAACAAAATTGTCTTAACGAAACACCGTTGAGTTCGAATTGTTAATTTTGTGTTTTCTTAAGTTTTCTATCCATATTTCTCTAATAGGTTCTCCTCGAGGTAGAGGCTTCAAATCACAGTGAAGGTAGGTGTGTCCGAGGTTTTGTACTAACTCATTGAAACAAATTTTCAAGTGCTAAAATGTATGCCAAACAAACTTTTAGAAGAAATAGAAAAAGGTGTCGTGGAAGGTATTGCCTTAAACATAGGGGGCGCATGCAACGGCAAAATCAAAGAAACTAAAAGCCTCGTTCATGTTTACTCAAGTAAACATTTTAAATATAAATGTAAGGAACTAAGTATCTACTTGTGCAATTTATCAAATGTTTTGATATTATTGAATGTTTAATCACTCCTAAGCCACCATATATGATCTTAAAACTAATATGTAATCAACATATAAAAGCATCTAGTTTAAGAATAGAGGCTTAAATAGTTTATTATTGTATATGGATATGGTTCAAATGTTGTCCTGGTAACATATTGATGGGATCCTATTTGTATATAAATATTACAAACGGTTCTAGATCACTCGGTGGTGACATGTGAGTGAATATATCATGTGTAATAGGAATGCATAAGATTGGATTGTGTGATATATCATGCAGCTTCATATACGATCGTTAAAGAAAATGCATACTTAGCCACTAGGATATGCGACAATATATGATTATATGCTTATTTGATTTTAATCCTAATCGTGTTATAAATTATGTCTATACGAGTGTGGTCTTTGATTCACGAGGGTAAGGGTGACACAAGCGTTGGCACAATAAACCTTTTGTTTTTAGAACAAATTCAAATGGAGAATTAAGAAATATTTTTATTACAAGATAGAATTTGCAGTTCCTTAGTAGTTGAGAAAGTGCCATGTGTGCACTTCTTCCTTATTGATTATATATATGAGTGGCTCTCTTAAGTGTTGGGATTGGATAACAACTATACCTCCTCGTTATCCAGCCAAAAAGATTTTTTTTTCCCATGATAAGATAATGTCAAGCTATATATTAGAGAATGAATAGGACTCGTGAGGTATAAGAGATGGGTCTAGAGACAAAACATAAATTTTGCATAGTTGAAACCTTGAAATGACTTTACAGGGTAGGGATGGGGATGTATATATATTTAGGACAAGGATCTCCCACCCGTCGCGTCCTCAATCGGGGATCCACTATAAAGCACGAGGATCCAAATTAAACCTACAAGTTTTTTTTTGTTATTTTAGTACTAGTTTTATTGCAAAATGGACTGATTTGGCTTTGAAAACCCCACATCGGACAATTGCCAAAGGCCACTAGGAATGAGAGGAGTAGCTCATGTCTATTATAAATCATCGTAAGGTCCTTTTCTTTTCGACGTGGGATCCTTAATAATCAAATAAACATATTTAGTTAGAAAACAATAAACATATTTAGTTATAAAATACTTAATAGAAACGACAACGTTACCAAACGAGCCCTAAAATTAACCGCTAGAATTTTGGTCCAAAATTATATATAACAGACGTATAAACAAACCCTAAAATAAACTGTTACAAGTGAGATTAGACCAAAATATGACTCATCTTCTCACATTACCCCCAACCATATAGAAAGAAAAAGTTCTTTCAATAATGTTCACGTGTCAATTCATTGTAGATCAATAATAGACAAAATATTCAAAGATAAATCAAATGACTATTTCTCTTAACATAAAATACACAACTTTATAATTATGGTTAATGCAAATTTAGCACATATTTACCACTCGCCTTCCTTCGCCTCCAAGAAAGATCGAACTCATGAGATTATAGATTTTTTTTCTTTTTTCTTTTGAGCTCACAAGACTACGGGAAAGTTGGCCTGGACACTGGACACCCACAGTAATCAACTATGTCTACAATCCTAGACTGTGTAGTGATCTTTTTTCTTTTTCTTTTTTCTTGAAAAGAAATTGTGTAGTCATCTTGGAGTTGAAAATTGTATATTTTCATAAAGATTCTTTACTACCTCAATATTCACCACATCGCGACATTTTTATTTAATAAAAGATTGTTAAATAGTATTATTTATTTAATGAACAAATACGTTGATTTATTGTTAATTGAACCTCCAACTCTTGAATACAGAGTTCAAAAAACCTCCTGAATACATTAAATATAAAAGGAAATAACGTATTAATGCATTAAATACTAAAGCAAAAAATATATGAAATTTTAATAGGATTCAAAAAATTTAACTAATTGAAATATATGCATTAAATACCAAGTCTTTTTTTTAGTTCGTTTTATACTTAAACAGTTTTAAATTATTTATTTCCCTATTAAATTTTGTCAATGAAACAATAAAAATGTCGCCCATCGTCCCCAACGCGGTTCGAATTCTCACCCAAAAAGAGAGGAAAAAAAACGAGAACAGGAGACAAACCTTCAACATTTTCATATTTTGCCTAATTATTATCCTCGACTTTGCCATAGTAAATATTAGGAGTGAGCGTACAGATCCAAAAAAAAATGAGTCGACTGAGTCGGTCGGTCGATTTTTGGGATAGACGGTTCGGTTGTCGGTTTTGAAAAATCAGAACCGATGAGTCAGTCAGTCTGCTGTCATACTTCACAGCCTTTACAATTACAGTGATTAGAGAGAATTAATAAAATGAAAGTAAGTAGCAAATTAGTGTATAATGGAGATAGTTAAATAGTACTCATTCAAACATTTGAGTTTCTAGCACTTCTGCTTTTTACCCTACGGCTATTGATGACCGAGGAAGAAAGTTAAAGAAAAAACCTACAGACAGCCCATTACAAACTTTGACTATAACTTAAAATACACTAATCCTGCAAGTTAAGGCCCATTCAAAGTCAAGATTAGAAGAAGGTTATTCTTAAAAGCCACCAATTGCACTGTTATGTACAAAATTTTGTGGTATTATGTAGATCAATTGGCAGGCAGAACTTCCTATGGCCCCCAAAATGGTTTCTCCCAAGTGCTAAGTAGACACGAGATGAGGACCCGAGCGGGGGAGAACGCATGAATAAGTGACGTACTTGACACTATCCAGCAACACGACAACAAAAACTCTCGAGAGCGACTTTGGCGTAATTACGCCATCGACTTCGCTGTCGCCAGCTTCTCTTGGATCAATGAGCACAGAAACTACCATGGAAGAAGCTGTTTTGTTGTTACCTGTGAAGCTGTCTTTGCGTGGGTTTCCAACAGGTTCTTCTGTGATGTTGAAATTTGATCCGCCGAGGGGAACTGGAAGACCACCCAGGATTCTCCTATTCCTTCCCTTGTTAAGGTGAGTAGCATTCTTGCGATGTGATTCAGAAGTGTTGGCAATTGAAGATGCTGGAACTATTGCTCCTGGAGACGTTGACGAAACATCGAACTGGAACACTTCAGTGCACGAGCCAGAACTCAACATCGGCCCTACAGATGGAGAAGGAAACCATAAGTATTTATAACATAACGTCGAACCCAAACCTTGCATTGGCCTACTAGTCCATTAATCAAGCAAAAGTCGAGCCATATTAGAGTTTGACACTCATGTCCATGTCCACCGCACTTATTCTTTTTGCAGACGTGGGGGATCTGATAAAGCAATTTTACAAAAGTCCACAAGTAACAGGTTACTAGTTAGGTATTGCTATTTCAAGGTTTAAAAGATGTTATATTCGAGCAAACAATCTAATCTATCACGCCCTACTGGACAAAAACTATTCCTGTGCATAAATCTGATGAAAAGTCATCCTAATCCATGTATGGAACATATAGTTAAAACGCTCAAACACCTTTTGTGGGGTGAGAAGTCACAATCAGATTGAAGAAGCCCTGAAAATTCAAAGTCCAAGACTTGTGTAGCAGTTTTCTTGCACAAGTGTAAAAGGCTAACAAGAGAAACAGAGTCAATGAGTCAATGGGTCAGTCTTCTGCTGCCAATTCTTTCCAGGGTATTAGTAGAGATTCCAACCTAAATATAGATGTCTTAACTCCGGATTCATGCTCAAGTTGGCAATCATCCTGTTTATCTTTAAAATGACAGGGGCAGGAAAAGAAACAAACACATAATCCAGTGTCAATATCTCTTGTTTCGAAAGCCATCCGATGTAATTACAATTCTAATGCCAAACGGGTGAGTTAATTCTTCAAATAGGTTGTGCAACAAATAGAACTTCCAAATAACGGCATTCCAAGTATAAAAATTGTAACCGAATAATAAGAATTAAAGTCAATATGCTAGGTAGTATTACCTGCAAGACCTTCACGGAACCACTGTTGAAGTTTGCCATCAGCAGCGGTTGCTTTGATGTGGTCCTTTAAACTGTTAGCTGGACCAGAAGGGAGTGCCTTCGGTTGTTCGGCAGGTTTTCTGTACACATTAGAATGTTTACCACCATTTGCCCTGATGTTTGGGATGGTAAGGGCTGGACTAAGGTCTCTAGGGATCGCAAGACCAGTTTCCCGAGCCTTGTCCGTATCAGACGCCGTGTGAGAGGCCATAGCTTTCTCGCTAGCCAGGAAAGAATGAATTATCAAGTTTCCATCAATCTTCACTAATTTGTCATTCCTTGGAACATACAAGGAAGCCACAAGAGGTTCGCTACCATTTCCAACCTTAATAGACTCATCTGAATCATGTAAATGCTGCGGCCCTTTTACTTGTTGATCAAATTTCAAGTCTCGTCCTTTCTTATAAGATCGCTCACACTGTAAGCGGTTCAAAGTACCAGATTTCCCACAAGGAGTTCCTACATTCACACCATTGGATAAATTGGAATACCTACCAACTCTCAAAACCCTCTCTCGATTCTGATTGTATAACCTATCACTAACAAATGCCAACTTACCAGGAACTCCTCCTACGTTTCCAAATTTGACATTAACTACAGGAACTAGACCACCAAAAAGCATAATAAAGAACAACAGACCCAGAAAACTAACACTGGCAACCTTCTTAGTTCTTCCCTCAGCCTTCTTACTCTCATTCTTTTTACCCCTTGCTACCGGAGCAGGTTGCTGGGACTTTAGTCTAGGAATTGGAACCAGAGGGACCTGAGATCCTTGCGGTTTAACAACATAGGGAGCGCAGGGGACCCATGGATAAGTCATTGGAGCCATTGAGGGGTGCGGATACATACCAGGAGGAGGAGGCTGACACATACCACTACCACTCAGCTGCTGTCTGAGACCCGCATTCTCAGCCATCATATATGATATCTTACCATTCAGTTCAGCAATGGTTGAATGCATAGTTCTCACTTTATCCTCCAACTCTTCCACATAATGCTTTTTCCTCTGCCTCGAGAGCTGCGCACTCTCTCGATTCCTCATCAACCTCGCCTTCTTCTTCTCTTCGTCCTCGTTTATAGCAATGGAACCCAATTGGGGATTTATGCTATCTGCAGGTCCAGATGCTTTTCGATACTTGGCAGATCTCGAATCCGCATTCCCTTCATCATGTTCTTTCTTCCTCTTCGCCATGCAATTCTTCTCCATTTCCTCTGATTTAATCTTCTGGTCGACAGTATCATCATAATACTCTGCATCACGAGATGGGCAATTAATTCCCTCAGAGACGCCCGAACCGCAATTCCCAGAACCCGAGCCCTGAGACGACGCCGGCCCGCCGGAGAACTCCTGATCACTACCACCATGCTGCGGAGAGGAGCAATTCAAAACCCTCGAAGCCTTTGAGTCCCAGCCCCCAGAATGAGCCGAAAGACACTCGCTATCCATCGTCCGTAATTTCGAAGATTGATAGTTGTCAAGAAACTTACAATCATCAGGAGACTGATCGCCGGAAACCGCAGAACTCCCCGATCCCGGCGATCCCTGGGGCGGAACATGAGGAGCCGACTCCGGGGAATTCTCGGAAATGAGGAAATCGTCGGCCTCAGAGGGGAGGTAGAGGTCTTCAAGGTCGTCAAAGGTGAGCTCGAAATCGCTATTCTCGTCGAATCCGAAATCGAAGGCGGAGCCGGAAGCATAAATAAAAGGCTCCTCCTCCCCGGGGACGTTGTGGTTGGGATCGGAGAAGAACAGAGAATCGAGAGGCGGAATTTGGAGGGAGTCAAATTCGGAAGCGTAAGGATTAGGGTTAGGGTTTTGATCCTCCGCGATCGGGTCCGCCATGGTTAGGGTTTCCGTGTTGAAATTGGAAACTGAAAACGCAGAGAGCGGTCGGATTTTATAAGGCGGAGATCGAAGGAAGAAGAAGACGAAACTGCTCCCCGTTTTCCGAGTCAAGCGCGTGTCAATCTCTTCTCCGTTTCTCGTCTTCCACAGGCGCGTATCAGAAACCTTTTTTTTTACTGAAATTCTTTTTTTTTACCTATATTAAATGTTGATAATTATAATCTATTGATTTGATTTGATTTTTTGTAAACTAACTATTAAGAATATAGGGGTAGTGGATGTTTGAATCCTAGATTAAGTCTTTGGAATTAGGTCGTCACATGTTGCTATTCTAAGACAATATATTTCCCTGGGCGTCTATAGATACGCAACGTTGTTGTTTTGTGGTTGCCGTATTTAGAGGTCCCTTTACAGACAATTTATAATAAGAATCGATGAGAATATATAACTATAAAAGTTGTGAGCGTGAGTGTGAAGAATTACAACTTAATTATTTTCACGTTCATAAAATAGTCAATATGATGCTTCCCTTCGACTTGTTGAAGCTATCGAAAGTTAATATTGATCGTGCAGAAGGACACAAGAGTATGTATCCTTGAATGGGTGGTCGAAACTAAAGTATTATTCTTAGTAGGATAAAACTTCTAAGGATTAGCTTCAAGTGATTTTGGACGAGATCTAAAATTGTCACGTAGCTAAATATGAATTAAGTGGGTCTTAGTATGTACCCCTTGTATAATCATAAATTAACCTGATTTAGGTTAGATCGTGATAATATTGACAATGTTATAGGATAATTATTATAATATAGTTTCCTATAAAAGAACATAGCTTAAGTTTTGTTTGTTTACATTGAGTAAGATAAAAAGATATTTTATTATATCGTTTAGTAGGTATATTTAGTCAAAAATTTTAATCGAATGGAGTAAAATGTATATTTAGTATTAAAAAAATATGCCAAACTTGGATAAAATAGTATTTTTGTTAACTGTAACATCATCATTTTATGATTGGGACTCTAATAGTGAAAATGTTTCCTAAACCACATAATCAAATAAGGAGAAAATCTTTTTTAGGAAAGGATTAAATAACGGAAATTTTGTTAGCATTAGGTGACGTGGATGGATATGTTAATATCTTACGTATATTTCGAGAAGAATCATGAAAATTGTAAATATTGATACATTTTTTTGAGTTAATAAATAAGACATAGTTTAATTAGCATATAATTAATTACTTTTCACCAATTCTAAATATATAAGTAATATACTTATGGAAATATCATTACGATGAAAAATATTGAAATAAAATCATGTATACATATATAAAAATTATTTGAATTAGTAAATTAACGTTTAATGTTACATAATAATTTCCAATTCAATCTAAAACTTTTAGTTAATTACATAGTTGAATAAATATGTAAAGACTAAATTTGATTTAAAATTTGAATGTTTAATAATAATTAGTTTAATTGATTTTATTTTATTTTTTTGTTTTAAGATTGGGTTAGTTAAATTTAAATTAAAGTTTATTTTTTTAATCGATTTCTTTAAGGTTTTGTTCGATTTTCTATGGTTAAATTTAATTTTTTTAAAGGTTTTTTTTTTAAATTATTACTTTTTAAAAACAAATGACAAAGGTAGGCTAGGATCAAAACTAATTCCAAAAATAGGTAGGTACCACGTCAACGACAACCCACCCGCCACATCGACAATATACGTTGCAGAGCGTCCATTGTATGCGAGTTTTGACCCCTCGTTTGACCTAACTTATTTTTGTCAATAGTTTCAAAAACCTAAATTACTTTTGTATTTATTTATTTAATTTGCATCTATTTAGTTATTATTTTTAAATTAACATTATTTTTGTAATTTCTTTTTAAAATGTCATTATTTTAAAACTTAACCCTTTTTTAAATGGGTTCTTTATAATATATTTTTCTAAGATTTTGATAGATTTTTTTTATAGTTAAATTTTTAACTTAAAAGAAAAAAAGAATGTGGATAGCAAATCTTTGTTGAATAGGTCAATTACAATACACGCTCAAAATCTATAAAAAAAAAAAAGATCCCAACACACGCATTAAAATCTATAAAAGTTATGCTAGTTGGTTTGAGGGTAATTTTACCAATAATGTAATTTAAAAAAGAAATTATAAATTTAAGGTAGATAACAAACTAAAATTAAAAAAAAATAAATAAAATAATATAAATCTGAAATATAGTAAATTTTAAAATTATTAATAGGGTGATGATGGTGGAAGTCAAAACTCGTGGACAATATAACATGGTTTACACGTGGTACACTGATGTGGTGGTGATTTGGATTAAATCGTGTACATTATACACTATTTCAATGAACTTGACAATATAACATGTCAGACCTATCAGAACAACATATTCGACATTTAGAATCTTTCTCTTGAAAATTTGTTCTACATCTATAGATTTATTTGATTTCGAGAAAATCATCATGTAAAATGTATTACCTACTGCTACTTGAAATTAACCACCATGTAGTTTCTACAAATATTGTTTCATTTCGAAAATGTAAATAAACATCACATATATACATACATATATATTTTACAAAGTTGTTAATTTTAGGATATTGAAATTTTGTTTTAAGAGAAGATACTAGAAAATTTTCAAATACTAAATAAACTTTTAAACAAATATCTAATGGAGGAGAAATAATAAGATTGACAAATGATTGCACAAAAGAACAAAAATAAAAATAAGTATTTTATGAATAATATATATGTTTAGGTTAAAATACCGTATTTAAGTTAGGAATCAAACTTCTTACTTAATATTTTTTTTAATTCAATAATTACATAGAGATCGAATCAAGTAGTAATTTTCATTATTTTTTTTGTTAGTTCAACGATAATTGATATAATTGATATATAGTTCCAACTTATAACTGTTCGATCATATATAAATTGTATTTAAATTTACAATTACCATTATCTACTTGGAATTGACAACTTCTGAATTTACTTTAAAAATATAAATATGGGGAATGAAATCTATTTTAAAAAAATGATATATTTGGACCAAATCCAATTTGGATTGTATAGTAAAGTGGGACCCACATGCAGAATGTGGCAATGTGTTAAGACCTCAAGCGACACAATGAGCGGTCAAGAACGGGAAGCGCGTGGTAGACAAGCGAAGCGTGGTGCGCGTGGAGGAGCTGGCGATCAATAAATAATGATTTTTAAATTTAAATATTATTTTGGATCCAATATTTTTATATTTAAATTCTATACTTTTAAAATATTAATTCTAGTCTTTTTATTTTAAATGATTCTCTTGAACCGCTATCATTTCGACTAACCCATTTTATATATATGTATTTTTTTTAACACGTACAACACTCGATAAAATTTTTGAAATACAAACTTTAAATTTATGTAAAATAGTTTCCCTTTTTTACACCGCTATTATCTATAGAATTTATGTTATAATTTTATAAATAGAGATCAAAATCGTTTATTTTAATATTTTAATTCGAAAAATGGTCTTAAATTTGTATTAAAATATTTTCATTGTATTTAAAACTTGGGTTAAAATTTTGTAAATATAAATTAAAATAACTACTTTATAATATTTCGACTTCATAATTAAAATGAACAAAAAGTAAATATATAAAAGTAAAGCACCCTAATGAACTAAAGAAGAGATAGAAATAGCATTTAATCCTAATTTTTGGAAAATAATATAATAAATAACGGAATGCGACGGTAGTTGAGGGTCTGGAGACTTCTGCCGTGAACACGTGTTTTATAAGAATTTTGAGTCTCTTAGCCGTTACGTTACGTCTGTTTTTTTCCGTTACCGGGACCACATGGTTTTGTCCCTCTTTAGAATCAATGCCTAAACGCTCAAAAAGATATCTATTATAAACACATTGAACTTTTTGGATTTTGTTTTTTTGTTTTCAAATTTACCAAATTAAATGGATTAAGAAAGTATAGGGTGAAAATTCTAAAAATAATTTTTTTTTTATATTTTCAGTATTTTCAGATTTTGAATTTCAAATTTTAAAAGGTATAATTATATTAAAAGACGATAAAAATTTTGATAAATATATTATTATAAACTCATTTTATCTATATTAAAATTAAAATATTTAAAATATAATACATTATATAACATTGTAAAATAATAATTATACAAAATGTTAATAAATTAATTGATATTATTTTAGATTAAACTAAATATTTAGTTGGTAAATACTATTAGTTTACAAATATATTTCTAAATAAACAGTTTTTTAACTTGAAATTCAATTTTCAAATCTGCTACCAAACACTTATCTGAAAATACTGAAAACAAACCATACAACTAACGAATGAGGCAGAGTCTCAAATTTATAAAAATTTGTTTTTTTAATATTTATTAAAATGTGGATAAAGATATTGTTGTCTAAATAGAAAAAAAGAATAACAAATAAAAAATTCATAACAAATATTTGGATTAACGATAAGCATATTATGTTTTTTAAATAAGTTAATTTTTAAAATTAGGTTCACATTTGTGATATTATACTGATATTTTAATATTTTATCGATTTTTTTGTAATATTATGAAAATGTTGATTCACCTGTATGTCGTCAAATCTATGGACATGTGAAAATATGGACATATGAACAAAAAATTAATACATTGCACCTAACTAAGATTTTATATGTCTATATCAATAGAAATGTAGATATCTCAATTTAATGGAAATTTGTATGAAAGTATTGATGGAAATTTTATAAAATTGAGAAAAAATAAAATTACTTAAATTAATAAATTAGTATATAACTTTTTTAAATAAGTAAAAAAATATTATTAATATTATATCCATATTCGTGATATTTTATACATTGTCGATCTTTTTGTGATATTATGGAAAAATCGATATTGAACTCATTCACATATAGAAATATCGATAGAAATTTTAACATATCGACAGAAATTTAATATCCTACCATTGACATACTTTTAAGTCATGGTTAAGATACATGTACATTCTCTTAAATGTCGAGGATTCGAACTCTTACACCACATTTGTTGAATTCAT